ATATTTATCAATCATGTTTGTTTAAGCTTCATCAGAGAATTCTTTGACGATGCTTTAATAGAAGCGAAACGTATTAGATTATTCCTGTTTGTTCTTTATATAATCATATATAGCTGGAGAGATAAATGTGTGTGTATTTAAATAAGTATATCTAAAATAATTTCACTTAGTTTGCTAAACGTTATCTATCTCTCTAGCTATCCATCTCTCTCTCTCTCTCTCTCAGTATATAAATATATATATATATATATGTGTGTGTGTGTGTGTGCTTCCAAAACGGGACCTGTTTGTTTCTTTTTGTTATCCCCCCTGATATAAATACGATTCGATTTCAAGCGGGAGATTCTGGAGTGTTTGTGAAACATTCTTAACCTTGTTGCACGCTCAACAGGTGTCGATGATTAGATTTCTGGAACGGTGTTGTTTACATCCGTCGTACATTGCTGAGAAAAAGTCGGCCTGCCTGTTTTCGTCCAATTCCCAATCGCTTCCTCACTTTTCTTTCGACATCTTTGCTCGCCTCATTTGCTCAACTCCATTTTAAACATATTTATCCGAAGATAGGAAATCAGCACATGACTTTTCAAGCCGTTTTTTTTCCTTTATATTAAAGAAGGGGAAGATGATTAGCTTGCTATGTCGTAAAAGTTTAACATTCACTATCGATTAAACATTGCTTCTTTTGGAATAGCATCCTTAACTTGCTTGTCCTTATCTAGCCATATGTTCGTCGTTTTAATTTGCAGGATTATTTAAGCGTATGTTTAGCGAAGCCCTTTTTTTTTTAATACCACTGTTCACCGAATATAAAACCTCAGAGTCAATCAAGGTTATTTCTTCTACGTGTCATGTCCCTTCAGAATACTGGCGTTCATGGCGCTCCACATTTTCCTGTTCTTTTGTATATCTTAGTAAACTTTGTCTTTTCGCTATCTCTCCTTAACTCTGTCTTGCCATCTACTTACACAAGCTCGTTCGTCTGGTGATGCTTTGTTTTCGTCTGTTCCTCTTACGGCCGTATCACGTTGAAACACTGGTTCCTGTACGATAACCGAAGTTAAGCAACGTCGATATTGGTCAGTGCCTATCTGGAAGACATCTTGGAAATACCAGGTGTTGTAACCTTGTTTGTGCGGGTGGTAAATGGATAACTTCTCTGGCTTGTTAATCGGAGAGCCGAGTTCAGTTCCAGATGGGTTCGTCATATTCACTTACACGTAAATACCATTAGGAAAAGTAATTGAACCTCATTTTCTCCCTCAGCTATGGATTAATTAGTATGACTTGTATTAGTAAATCATCTTTATTTCCAAAAACAAATTGTTACAATGTAGAAATATTTTTTGTTTTAAATAACCTGCCGTAGAAAACGAATCAATCAATCAATTTTGTCTTTAATATATTCTGTGAGTATCAAAATTTGTAAGTCCTCTTTCCTCATTATTACCCTTATAATATCAATTATTTCTTTCCGATGTTAAGTATAAGTGTCCTTTTGTTTCTATTTTGTCTAAAACATCTTGTTCCGTCCATGGTATTCTCAGCATCCTTCTGTAGAAATACATTTCCGTTGTTTAAAGTCATCTGTGAGATGTACAAGCTTTCATGGCCATGTAAGAGAACTGACCTTGCGCAAGAGTTCAGTGCTCTTTTCTTTGTTGCTATCGAAACTTTTCTGTTTCTTAATACTTTACTTATCGTTTGGAAGGCATCTTTGGCTGTTCCAATGCACTTTTGCATTTCTGTGTCGTATTTTACCTCTGCTGTTAAAACACTTCCTAGATATTTGAATCTTTCAGCTTGTTTGATTTCCCCATATCCAATTTGTAATTCAAGTTGGGTTGGATTCGTACAATCTAAATTCAACAAGTCCAGATACCATAAACAAGAGTTCATCCGAAAAATTACTATGAAAGTAAGTAGAGAAAAGGCACAGAGAGGTGACTTTACTTCAGTGGGTAAGTGACTGAGGCCGAGTCACCAGATCAGGACCGATAATATTGCTGATTCTTCTTTGGATTTTATCAATGAGCTCAAGGTAAATAGCATGGGCACCGGCCCATATGTGGCAATCTAAAGTCTATTACCCTAAGTAGAGCTTTATTAACCATGAATTTTATTGTGGGGACGTATAGATATGTAAGATAATTTCTGGAGGGAAAAATGTCTTAGACGATACAGCGATCCAACTTTCTTAGCAGCTGACCTAGCAATGGATTAAGAACAAAAAAAAAACATGGATTTTTAGCAGTTAGTTGATGTACCCATATAAAACTCTCCAAGTTGATGAGATCTCGACGCCAGTCTCGTCTTGCGTTTAAATTCATAAAGTCTAGGTAACCTAGAGTAGAGCTTATTCGAAGAACTACCATGAAAGTATTTATAGGAAAGAAATAGGCAACCTTATGGCGGTGGGAAAATCACTGAAGCCGAGTTGTCAGATCAGGACCGATTCTATTTTGGATTTTATCAAGGAGCTCAAGATAATTAAACATGACTACCACATACGTTGTTCTATTATTTGCGGACGGAGCACCGGACCATATGTGGCAGCGATATTCTAAGCATGGAGGAATTGTAGACTTATAGATATGTAAGATAGATTCTGGGGAGAAAATTGTCTTATACGATACAGCGAGCCAACTTTCTTAGCAGCTGACCTATTAATGGATTCAAAACAAAAAACAAAATTGCATTTTTAAGCAGTTAGTTGATGTGCCGAGGTTAAATTAAGGGAGTTCCACAAGCGAGAATTGTGAGGAAAGAAAATGTTAATATAAAATAGACGGCTACATACATCCAGCTGAACTGCTAATTGATGAGCTCACAAGGCCTGTCTGGTACTACGCTTAAATTCAACAAGTCCAGATACCATAGCGAAGACCTCATCCGAACACTTACCACGAAAGTAATTAGAGAAAAGGCAAAATAATAATATTTATATTTCATAATCGTTCTGTGCTATATTCTTTGTTTGTAACGAAATCTTTCCGTATTTTAATAGTTTGCTTATCTTTAGGAAGGCATCTTCCATTGTTCAATTCACATTTGGATTTCGCTGTCGTATTTTCCATCTTCTATTAAAACACATTGTAGATATTTGAATCTTTCTGCTTGTTAAATTTTCCCATATCTAATTTGAATATTAGGCTATTCTTTTTGCAGACAATCACACATTCTGTCTTTTTGCAATTGATGTTTAGTCTTTTCTTTTTGCTTTCCAGAACTTGCTTTTATGAAAGTTCTTGTGTTGTATAAGTTTCTATTTCTATGTCTAAAACATCGTGTTCCGTCCATGATATCCTCAGCATCCTTCTGTAGAAATACATTTCTGTTGTTTGAAGTTATCTGTGAGGAGATATACAAGCGTTCACGGCCATATAAGAGGACTGACCATACGCAAGAGTTCAGTGCTCTTTCCTTTGTTGCTATCAAAATTTTCCTGTTTCTTAATACATTGCTTATCTTTTGGAAGGCATCTTTCACTGTCCCAATGCACGTTTCGATTTCGATGTCGTATTTTCCGCGTTCTGTTAAAACATTTTCTAGATATTTGAATCTTTCTGCTTGTAGGATTTTCCTATATCTAATTTGTAATTTGCATATTAGGCTGTTCCTTTTTCAGATAATCATACATCCTTTCGTCTTGCAATTGATGCTGCGTCTTTTTTTTATTTCCATCACTTCTTGTATTTCAATCTAGATTACTGGTTACTAAATGTGGTTGTTGTAATTTTGAAATAAGATGATTGATTGATTACCTCTTTTGGGTTAGCAACCGTTTGCAGATTACATAACGTCGAATCCTACTTTCTATTGTAAAAATGGTATTTTTCCTGGGAGTGAACATTCCTTTTTGAAGATAAAAAAATGATTTAACCAATATTACGCCAAAGCTGTGTTGAGCATGGATTTATACCGTTCCCACGCCCTGCCGGCTGGGCATCTAGAATACGCCGACTCCACCTCTGCAGAGGAGTATGACCCCCGCTCCAATGGGGCGTCCCGAGTATGACGATAAACAACCTTCCTCGTCCAGTGTAAGACAATAAACTACGTCCAACAGCAAGACTTCTGATCAGGAGGTTTTGAGGAGCGTGGAACCACCTCTTAATTGCTGGTGGTAGCACCTGTTAGGGTCCCAGCTATGGGCAAATAGTTAACCCCGAAACTGAGGTAAAAAGCATTATAAAAGTGTAAAATAGGTTTTACTACTAGAAATATTTGAAAAAAAATATTACCAGAAATTAATTTTTGAAAAAAAAAATTACCAGTAATACGTTTTGAAAAAAAAAATATTACCAGCAATACATATGATTGTACACAAAAAATATGAGTAATTGAAAAATGGTTAAAATATATATGCATACATGCACCTTTTTTTTTTACCAAACTATCGCTATGTATCTATTTCAAAAATTTTGTTGGTATTAATCGACCAACTGAGGTTGATATGCCATAAAACAAAACAAACAACTATATCGTTCCCATGTGTATTTGCGCCTAAGTGAACGTAACAAACTCGATTGGAAGCGTAAAAGGGGAATGTATATTATGAAGATATATAGGACAGATAAAGGTTAGAACTAGACTTGATGAGGTTAAAAATGCGGCTCGTCTGTATATCTTCCATATAATTATCAATAGTATAGAGAGAGGTCAGACACATTTAGTCTGCGAGAAATTGTCTGTAGGATGGGAGATAATTCATCATTCGCAAAGCCGCCCAGAACTAGGCTTGACGAGTTTAAGAACGCATTGCTCCTGAAAGAAGCCTGATATATAGGAATAAAGTCTCGGTGCCAACATTTGAGTTTGTAGCAATGCAGAATTCATCCCCAACAAGGAAGATTCGGCGCTGTATAAGTCATAACCTGTGTCCAGTTGAGTGTGTCAGACATGTCTGTCTTCGGTAATTATCTTAATAACGTTTTTTAATAATTCAGCATTTGCATTTGACTCGTCTTCATTATGCGAGCATTTGTCGGTAACAAGTTGAAATGGAACTCGTCTTCATTCTTATGCCAACTAATTTTTCATGTTTTTGCATACGTGATTCGGTAACAAGTATGAGAAAACAAAAAAGCAATGTTACTAATTCTTCTTAACATTCTTCTGCCAACGATAATTCCTTCGATTTTTTTCTCGCATTACGTGATTCTGCACGCGTACAATGAAGAGAAACGCCTGAATTTTTCAGGCACCAATAACATTAAAATTCTTATTCCATGATTTGATTTGCTGTCCATGTCTTGGATCCGTTTCCATCTTTTTTTAGTACTTTCATTCAGTCCTGCTTCTAACCTAATTGTTCTTCCACTCAACGACGACTATGATGGTGGGTGGTGTACAATATTATAAAGAGGTGGAAAGAATGGTGTTCGATAAGTTTAAAGTGTGTGTGGTTAAGGATTTTGGACTCTAAATATTCTTTGTCATTAAGGATATATGCATCATCTAGACATTATAAAGAGGTGGAAGGTTCGGCAGCATAATATTATATATGAAGATATTTATATAAAATATATATACAATGAAGAGACGATACGCCATGGTATATATATATATATATATATATATATATATATATAATATATGACTGAAGCCGAGATACCAGCTCAGGCACCAATAACATTAAAATTCTTAATCCATGACTTGATTTGCTGTCCATGTCTTGGAATAACCCATTTCCATCTTTTTAGTACTTTCCTGATATTGCTAGTCCTCCTTCTATTGACTCACTAGATTAGTTATTAATCAAGTAATTACTATACCAGCAAATTTATGAACCAATATTTTAGTCCTCTAGACTGTTGTCATAAGGTTTTCGGGAAAATCTGGGAATCAAATTAATTATTCTATATTATTATGTTTCAGTGAATAATAATAATAATAATAATAATAATAATAAGAAGAAGAAGAAGAAGAAGAAGAAGAAGAAGAGTTTGTTGCTAGAAAGAAGACTATTCGAACTTTAAATTTATGGCCATCAATAGTCCCTGCTATATATTTAGAAATTCTTAAAACCCAGTGGTTCAATATAGCCTACTATATGTCTTTTCTATACCAACATCTTGAACTGGACTCTAAATGTTATCAGACGAATAGATTCTAAAACAAGAAATATTCTTTTCTTAATCAACATCTTAATATGCATCATCATTATTCTCTGGTTAATGTAGACTATAATATTCATCTATGTCAGGCGTTATTGCCTCGCTTAAGTGAATAAATGGAAAAAAGAAAAAAAAAATCGTTATTTGCAGGGTTCGACATATGTCAGAACGATTTTAATGCAGAAAAGAAGGTAACAATGGCAATTTTGTAAAAGGAGGAAGAGGTCTTAATCAACTAGAATTTTATATATATATATAAATATATATACTTCACACACACAAAAATACATAATATTCACTTTGACATTTATATTTACATATATATATATATCTCTATATATATACATATATATATATATAGCACTTTATCCCATATACATATATATATATATAATAAACCATATTTCTTCATCTATCTATCTATCTATCTATCTATCTATCTATCTATATATATATATATATATATATATATATATATATATATATCTATCTATCTATCTATCTATCTATCTATCTATATATTATATAAATGTATATATATATAAATTTTATGTATAGATATACTTCCTTTTCAGATGAAATTGAATATTCGAAAATTCAGTCTTGTGGAAAAGTTAACAGGCTGGAAAAATCGGTAGAATGAATAAACATAATGATTTAAATAAATATGAATTTAAATCGATATAATGTGCATCTAATAAAAAAAAAAAAAACGCACACACGTCCCCCCTCCTTTTGTGCCATTTATGGGGTATAACCCTCTGTTTTATCTATATGTCTATCTATATATATATATATATATATATATATATATATATATATATATATATATATATAGTAAACATGTTATCTAAAGCTTGTGTACAGGCCTACTTACACAGGCTCTCCCTCTCACACACACACGAACATCATAACACCAATAAAACATGAATGATTTATTATTATTTCTCTTAATATAAAATTGAGGAAAACAATAAAATTGACTGACATTTTCTGATATCTCCTGACGAGTGGACAGAATAATTACACAAATGTTCGTCTATGAAACTGGAGTGGGGATGCTGAATATAATATCAATCAACTCAGGGAGAAATGTTATATTTGTATTAATTATACATACTTATATATATATATATATATATATTTGTATGTGTGTGTGTTTGTGTATATATATATATATATATATATATATATATATATATATATATATATATAGTCATGGAAAGTTAATGCTATTTATTTTTAATTATTTAAATAATATTTGCTCTGAATTACTATTGAGCTCTCTGGATCACATCATCTATGGAATTATCCACACGTATTACCAAACCCTTCATTTATATATATATATATATATATATATATATATATATATATATATATATATATATATATATATATATATATATATGTATATGAATATATGTGTGTGTGCTGGCTCTGTGTTGCTGGCTCTGTGGGTGTGTGTGTGTGTGCGTGCGTGCTTGCGCAGCGCACTTTCTGTGACGTATAATAATATCCGAACTAAAAAGGCGATAAGACGAAGTGGAAAATTTTATTAACGATGCGTTTCGCCGGAGAATCGTAATGAGCTATGGTAATTAATTTGATTTATGATACCCACTTAATCTCAGAGATCCCAAATTTTTCCTAACTCACATTTTCATCTTTATTTCATTTAAACTGAAAAAACCCTGTGTGAACGTACGCTTCTCCGGTAATATGCGCTTTTGATAACATTTTTCACTTTGTGTCATCATCTTCAATATATATATATATATATATATATATATATATATATATATTATTTATATATATATAATTTAACTTATATATATATAACTTGTGTATATATAACGGAACTTGAATACTTAAACGTTATTTTGGTGGAACCCATATTTGATTAGATGCTTCGTTTATTTATTAAATAGTATAATTGTTTTCGTCTACAAGCCTGAATATTAGATAAATATTACTCGGATATTCATTCTTATCTATCTATCTATCTATCTATCTATCTATCTATATATATATATATATATATATATATATATGTACTCGACTCTCCCGTCGAATTCGACGTATGAGGGCCAAGCAGATCAGTTCCCAGGAAACCGACAGCCCGACAACAGCACATGAGATTTGATTATAGTGGTGAAGGTTTCGTGCAAGACCATCCACACATTTTGAAGGGCCGAATACAGAGACCTGGTGCACTACGTGCCACAAGGTCCCCAAACGACCCTCCGTAGGTATTGAACTCAAAGTTTTCCATCTCACAGATCAGTTGTCATCCAAGGCTATAGAACCTAGTTTGTCCTGCTATTTACCCATATCTTGAGGGAGAAGAGGATTCACACCTTTCCCAAGGGTATTAGCACGTAAATGAATGTAATGCATTTGACTGGAATTGAACTCAGCTCTCTGATTATCCATTACTCCACAGTGCCTCCTCTCTTTCTCTGTATATATATATATATATATATATATATATATATATATATATATATATATATATATATATATATAATTATTTATTCGAAAATTATAACATAAATATATTTATAAATTCATTACAAAAATAGCCATTTTGTTTCAACAACTCTGTTGTCTTATCATGTGATGATGTTGAATATAGAATAAAGGGTTTTGAAAGGTTTAAATCAATTATCCACCCCTTGCAAGGGGAAACGCTGTTACATAAGCTGGGATGACCAATCAAAATACAAGTATACGAGAATTCAAAAATCTTGACAATGAACTAATGTTATAACAACTATTTAATGCCTTAATGTTGGGGTTAGATTAAAATAGAAGTTATTCTAACTAATAAATATTAAATTATACGATAAAATTTGAAATTAAAAATTAAAAATTACCCATTTTAAAATTTAAATTTAATCTCTATTAAGTTTTAAAATTATAAAATTACTGAGTAAAAAGAAAAAATACATGTTATTCTATTTATTTTGTTTTTATAGAAATTACGTTGCAATGAACGTTAATATTAGGTTGGTGCAAAAATAATGACGTAATAATGTCGTTTTTTAACGTATTTTTAAAAAAAAACGACATTATTCCCCGTCATTATTTTTGCACCAACCTAATAACAACTGTTGTTCTTAGCTTCTTGACAACATAGATACATTTGAATTCTAATTATAGGCAGGGGAGGATGATAGCATGCAAAAGACAATACATACACAATCAGATTATAATACATAAGCACGCAGACATATTTAGATATATACACACAGAAAAAGTGACGAGACTGGAAATTCTTATAAGACTGACATTTGGAAAAAGTCTTCCGAATTTTTGAAGACAAACAATGAAAACGAAATGTTATGTTGTCATAGTTATATTAAATTGAAAATTAAAAAAAAGAGAGATGCTCCTGCGTAAGCCTCTTTCTGGCTAATAGTAACTTCCATTATAGTAAGAGATTGTTTTTTTTTCCATGGCGACATTAGAGGAAAATTTCCAAAATAAGCCAAAAACAATTAACCGGAAAGCTACGTACGCATGAGCGTCTTCTTTTTTTTTTTTTAATTTCTTTTCTTCCTTTCTTTTCTTCTTTCTTTTCTTTTCTTCCTTTCTTTACTTTTTTCTTCTTTCTTTTCTTTTCTTCCTTTCTTTGTTTCTTTCTTTTCTTCCTTTCTTTTCTTTTTTCTTTTCTTTTCTTCCTTTCTCTTCTTCTTTCTTTTCTTCTTTTCTTTTCTTCTTTTCTTTTCTTCCTTTCTTTTCTTCCTTTCTTTTCTTTTTTCTTTTCTTTTCTTTTCTTCTTTTCACACACACACACATATACATATATATATATATATATATATATATATATATATATATATATATATATATCCGAATGTCATGAGAACGAAAATCATACTTATTATAAAACCCAGGTTGTTTGTGTGTGTGTGTGTGTGTTCGTTTATATATTGGATCGGATTTCCTACATTTTTCAACCGATTTCAAGAAAACATCACAGGATTACGTAAAATTATCAATTTGAAAACACGTTTAAGAGGCATCGCTGTCGCGAGAATGAAAGGGGAACAACTCATATCGAGTTATACTTATTATAAAACCCAGGTTGTGTGTGTGTGTGTGTGTGTGTGTGTGTGTTCGTTTATATATGGGATCGGATTTCCTACATTTTTCAACCGATTTCAACAAAACTTCAGTATTTTTTTGGCAGGTAGTGTTTCTTATTGTCTTGCACACTTCTTTCTTTATTTTTACATTCAGAATGCTTTAAAAATTCCATTTACAAGACAATTGAATAAAATTCTATTCAATCGATAGACTCATAACGATTAAAAACAATGTTTTTGTTTGAGTTTGGATTTGACCAATTCGTAAAAAAAAAAAAAAAACAAAAAAAAAACTAATTAAGACATGCGTGTCCGTCAACCTTAAACAATAATCTTTGTCAATTTTATTTTTCAGTCTTTATGTTGGTCGATACTTGATCTATCTCTTACTGTTACATCCCCGGGCAACGCCGGGCTCTACTGCTAGTAATATATAAATTCTACCGTTCACAATATTAATTCAAAAGAGGTCTCAATACCGATAGTAGAGCAATAATTATATAATATAATTTTTTTCATATAGACAAAATATATGAAAATAGCTTAACAGAAGAATCGTGATGAATTCGATTATAAACGAAAATGACGAGTCCATCATTAATTAATTATAACTAAGGATCAGAACCTCATGAAGGACTGAAATAGAGTTCAAATACACACACACACACGTACGCACACGCAAGCACACACACACACACACACACACACACACACACATATATATATATATATATATATATAGATAGATAGATAGATAGATAGATAAAGATAGATAGATATAATTCCATGATAATTTTCCTACTTATACAAGATGATCTTCGCCCTCTCTAACCTTCTAAGTTTCTGACCTTGTGTAATAAAGAGCCTCACATATTTCACGTACGATTTTACTTTCAAGTGTCTTTTTTCACTACTTTTGAACTGCCATAACTGAAACCTCTTTTTTTCATGAAGTAAACGTGTTATGGATTGAGTTGGATTTTTTCTAATTGATCTCTTTATCTCTAAGTTGACATGAACAACCGTCTTGCTGTTGTGACCACTTAATCCACTCTTCCTTTCTACTGTTCCTTCTTTCTTAAAATTATTCACTGTTCTCTTGATGGTTATTAAATGGACTTTGAAGATGGAATCTAAAGTCTGAATATCGATAATATTACGGAAGCCCTGGATGATCATTTTCCTTTTTCTATTGATTAGTTGGGAAGGCATTATTGGGCTGACACAACATGATTTTAACCTGTTCTCTTTCTAGCTGCCTATCTCAAAGGGGTTTTCAGTAATTCTTAAAAAAAATGGTATCAAGATGACTAAACACCTCATCTGGAAACATGGGAAAAAAGGACTCAATTAGTTTAGTGTTTATTTTAGATATTAAATATTTTGTAGGATGGACAATTATTGTATTACACGATATGGAGAATTTTTCTTTTACACATGTTGTATGTATATATGAGTGTATTTACGTTTAAATACATATAAGTTTGTGCATATAAATTTCTTCCTTTCTTTTCTTCTTTTCTTTTCTTTTTTATTTCTTTACTTCTTTTCTTCCTTTTTTCTTCTTTCTTTTATTCTTTTCTTTTCTTTCTTTCTTTTCTTCTTTCTTTTCTTTTCTTCTTTTCTTTTCTTCTTCCTTTCTTTTCTTCCTTTCTTTTCGTCTTTCTTTCTTCTTTTATTTTCTTCTTTCTTTTCTTTTTTCTTTTCTTCTTTTCTTTTCCTCCTTTCTTTTCTTCCTTTCTTTTATTCCTTTCTTTTCTTCTTTTCTTTTCTTCCTTTCTTTTCTTCATTTCTTTTTTCCTTTCTTTTCTTCTTTTCTTCTCCTCCTTTCTTTTCTTCCTTTCTTTTCTTCCTTTATTTTCTCCTTTTCTTTTCTTCTTTTCTTTTATTCTTTTCTCCTTTTCTTTTCTTCTTTTCTTTTCTTCCTTTCTTTTTCTTTTCTTTTCTTCCTTTCTTTTCTTCTTTTCTTTTCTTCTTTTCTTTTCTTCTTTTCTTTTCTTCGTTCTTTTCTTCGTTTCTTTTCTTTCTTTCTTTTCTTCTTTCTCCTTGCTCTTTTCTCGTGAATTCTTTCCTTTCATTTTTTTTCTTTGTACCTTTACTTATCACCACCCTCTTTATATCGTTCTTATTCTTTGCTTTCTTTTCGTCCTTCCCTGAATAGTCACTGGTCTTCCTTCTTTATATTTCTTCCGTTCTCTCCTTCTCTTTTTTTTCATTATTTCCCTCGCCTTTCGTATTTATATTTTTTTCTTTTCGTTCCCTTATATTTTTTTATTATTTTTCTCTTCTTTATGTTTTTTTTCTTATTTCATTTCTTTCTTCCTCACTTTCATTCATTTTTTACTTCTTTCATTTTATTTTCCTTCATTTGCTCGTGTCCCCCCACCCCCGAGCTCTTTGAGAAACATGTTCACCCGTGCAATTTAAAACCACCGTCATTCGCGAAGTCATCCAAAAAGGGCACTTGCCTCTCGCTTGTCACTAGACACCAATTCTTACTCGTCAAATGAATCGAAACGAACAATATTAATATTAAGAACACTGTAATGGAGAGAAAAAAAGCCTCAAGAAATGAAAAAGTAAGAATAAAAATAGACAAAAGCCAATCGAAAACCAACCAAAATTGAAATTTGTAGAATTTTGAATAGAAGTTAACTTTGCACGCAGCGAAAAAATTTCCGTAGGAATCAAGCGGAAGTCATGGAGTGTACACATGCTTGAGCATAGAATTTTTAAATATATGTTTTCAAAAACACGTACACACAGAAAAAGAGACTCAGAAACTTTTATTTATTTATTTATATTTATATTTATATATATATATATATATATATATATATATATATATTTATATATTTATTTATTTTTTGAAAACAGGTATTTATCATTTCGATTCCCATGCAAAAGCGAATGACACAGGAATTATATAAGCAGACACTACTGTTACGCTTTATCAAAATTCCTCAGTGTGACAAGACAACCGAATGCCTCAAGCCCGGATCGAAACCAAATCGATTTGGTGTCAGTCAGAGTTTGTACAGCTGAACCATCTTCACTCGACAGAACGAACCAGTAAAATCTAGCGTATTTGTTTTACAAACGTAAAGAAATGCCAAGCAGCCAAAGTGTTCCATTTATTTTACTGAAGAGCTTCGTTTTTACGCAGGTGACCGTTGAGTTTAGAATTAGCTTGTCGTTCAACAGTGCTCAATTGAAGATATATTTTCAAGAGCTATATATATATATATATATATATATATATATATATATATATATATATATATATATATATATATATATATACTAATAAGAAATACAAATTTTGTTCAACGACATTTTGTACATTTATTATTAATATATATACTTTATCTCATTTATAGCATAAATATGTTGCAATACTCTTTTGTTACCACCGGCACTTATTGTCCGGTACTTTATATATATATATATATATATATATATATATATATATATATATATATATATATATGATAAGAGATATAGAAGAAATAGGAGGCGTTTATTAATCTAGTATGTTTCACTTTTTATTAGAGGTCATGATATCGTTTGTTGCAAGGTTTCGTCTCTGGGTTTAGAAATGATGATTTCCTTGCGTACATTTTTGCCAATTTATGCAGCCTTGTCGTTAGTGAAAGTTTCGTAGTTTTTGAGGTCTTCTGCGCAAGCAAGCACACGACAAACGTCACATACATACATATATATATATATATATATATATATATATATATATATATATATATATATATAATAAAATTATTGGTAATCCTTATGTAATTTCCATGAGGTAATATATCTGTTGAGAGCTCTGTGTTAAAATAAAGATATATATATATATATATATATATATATATATATATATATATATATATATATATATATATATATATATATATATATATATATATATATATATATATATATATATATATATATAATAAAATTATGCCTAATCCATATGGAATTTCCATGAGGATATATATCCGTTGATATTTCTCTGTTAAATTACGGAAAGCAAAAGATATATATATATATATATATATATATATATATATATATATATATATATATATATATATATATTAAGAAATGGACAAAGTCCGACAATTTATTTATTAAAGACATTATAAAAAAAACGTGAAACCAAAAAATGTCTTTAATAAATAAATAAAATATATATATATATATACAATAGTTACGCACATATATTAACATTAATAATTAGTACTGCTTATTTTATTTTTACGATAAAGCTTTTTTTGCAAATAACATGTGTTGTTTTTTTAGTCATAAATTCGTTAATAATGCATCCTCTTCACGCACATAATCGCATTATTCTTTCTGTAAAACATTTAAAAACAACGGAAGTTTATCGAGTATAAACTTTTATAGCAAGCAATTTCCACTAATTCTGTCTTGTAAATTCATATTCATGTCATTCACATTATAGATGTAAGAATGATATTCAAGCTTTTTTTTTATTTTATAACTACAGTGTTACCTCACCTTAAGTCGTTTCGAGTTAAGTCATTTTAGAAGATACGTCGGTTTTTCTTAAAATATAGAACAATAAAACTCGCCTTAGGTCGTTTTACCTGAGTTAACGTCATCCGTTAAATATTCCAAAAAAAATCTAAGCACTTAAATATACACATATAATATATTTAGGTAAATGTTAAAATAATGGTATGTGTACTGTTTTAATAGTCTTATCACATTAACGGAAAAAACATACAATAATAGAATTCGTGAATTACAACATTACTATTTTCATAAATGTTCTCACTTACAATATTCATAAATTTATCGTCGCGTGTTCAAAAATAAAATTCTTAACTGGTAATGACAACACACTTAAAAAAACAACTTTTGACATATATCACATCTCTTTTCGTCTTGGAATTTTACCCAATATTACCTGAAATAAAAAAAAAAAAATAACATCTCTGCCTGAGGATGGTATATGGTTACCGAAAGTACTTGCAATATGGATGGAACATCTAATCAATTTGACAATTAATAAAAACAAGTATCACCTCGTTCAAGAAGTGGGCAGTGAGCTAATGCTTTATTTAATCTATTAGCGAAGGGAATTCGTCATTAATTATATTAACTTTAATAATTTATTCTTTGAATGGCTACTTCTTTAGAATATTAATTAAACTGGATCATTTAATATATATATATATATATATATATATATATAAATATATATATATATATATATATATATAATATATATATATATATATATATATATATATATATATATATATATATATATATAAATATATATATATTTATACACACACGCACACACACACACACACACACGATTTACTATAGTAAACTGATTAAACTTGCAATTATACCAAGCTAATGTACTAGCACCTGAACCCGGGATGCTAGCAGCAGCAAGGATGATAAAATGTGTTCTTTTGTCATGAAAGGGGTGATGAAAAGGTGTAAACATTTGGGAAATTCTGTATGGAACTATTGTTTAGAAAATGGTACTGAACTGCTATGCAATACCAATCTACCTATACGCAACTAAACGCCGGAAAATTTCCTTACACATGAAGAAGGCACTTCAAGTCAGAGATACAAAGAAAAGAGTTATTAGTTGCCTAATCCATCTATATGGCACTGAATGCTGGACAGTTTCCTCACATATGAAGAGGAGACTTGAAACAAGAGAAACAAAATAAAGACTACTGAACTTTTATGTAATATAAATCCATGTACATGGCACTGAATACTGGGCAATCTCCTCACAGATATACTGATGATTTGAAGCAAGAGAAACAAAGCAAAGTGTGCTGAATTGTTATGTAATACCCATCCACCTATATGGAAACTAATGCTGAGCAATTTACTCAGAGATGAAGAAGGGACAGGAAGCAAGTGAAATAACGAAAACGGTGCTTAAATGTTGTGCAATATCACTCTTCCTATATGGCAGTGAATACTGGACAACTTTCCACACAGATGAAGAGGAGACATGAGGCAACAGAAAAAACGAGTCCTGAACAATGTGATATCAATTCTTCTATAAGATAGTGGATACTGGAGAATTTACTCACAGATGAATGTGAGACTTGAGGCAACAGGCACGTAGTGCTAGAAGGGGATGATGTGAATACCATGGACAGAACGTGTGAATAACCGAACGCTTCTCTGTGGCCAATCGGTTAAAGGCACGTCAATCTAAATAACGGTTCCGTATAGGGTACAGGTTCGAATCCTCTCGGAGGACGAATATCTTCTGTGAAAATTTCTCGGACATCCAGGCCGGTAAATGCTGTTTAATACTGTTTATTATAAACAGAGCATTTACTTAAATATTTGTATCTATAAAAAGAATGTATAAACATAAAATGTCTTAAAATAATTGTCGGACTTTGTCCATTTCATAATATAATATATATATATATATATATATATATATATATATATATATATATATATATATATATATGGAGAGAGCGAGATAGTGAACATTGAAGTCAACACTCAAAGCCCTGATGATTGCGTCTAGCATGAAACAGTCTGTCGCCTCTGAGCATTGAGTTCAATGTTCACTTATATTTACATACGCTCTATCCCTGATATTGAGCACTTTATTTCATAAATATAGCACACATTAAAACTATATATATATATATATATATATATATATATATATTATATATATATATTTTAATTTAGTTTTGGAATATTTTTTATATTATAGTTGTTGCGCGGAGAGCAGACTTTTAGCCTTGAGAATGTCTCTCACGTCAGCGTGAACTGGTATGTCTCCACGTACCTAGTGTTGGAATAGTAATTAATATCCTAACAACTAAACTAAAAATCACCACAAAACAACTAAAAAACAATACTAACATTTTCATCTGACGAGTCGACAAAGCCAACACATGTAATTTTTAAATATATATATATATATATATATATATATATATATATATATATATATATATGCATGTTTCATTAAACAATACAGACAAGTTTTGTCTATTTATTTTAAGTAAGTTCCTTTCATATTGTCTGATAAACTTAATAACATTATCATTGAAAGACGAAAGGAAATCACCATATTGATACATTTTTTAATCCTATCCAAGCTTTCGGCTTATATAAGCCATTATCAAAGATGACAATTAAATTTCAATATATAAAACAATACACAGACGAAGCGATAATTATTGTCTGTTTTTGTTGCATGAAAAATTTCGAGGCACCGACAAACTCGTGTATACAAGACGCGGAATATATATATATATATATATATATATATATATGATATAATGGAATATGCATACACCTGTGTTCCCCCTCACTGGAATATGATTGATTGGTGTCCGTCATAAATACAGACGGACGTGTAGGTAATGACAGTGTTTAAGTCTATGACGACGCTCATTGGACTAAGCCATTGGCTAACCTATTGGCCTAAACCTATTACCTGCGACTACGACGAGTACTAGTCGATTACTGCTACCGTGTACTACTTGTTTACAGTAGCCAACCCCACTTAGCTACTTCATCCATATTATATCCATTTCCGGTACATATCAATATATATTAGAGAGAGAGAGAGAGAGAGAGAGAGCGAGAGAGACAGAGAGAAAGAGAGAGAAAATGTGTTTGTATGCGTTTATGAGCGTGTGTATATGCAACATGTTTGTTTGATGTGTGGGCTAGATGATCAGTCTCAGTTTAACTCCACAATAGTTCTTCATCATTGATGGAGAAAAAGAAAGTTCTCATTCAGTTTTGATTCCTATGTCCACACTTATTATCTACATACTCTCCAACTTGTATATTAATAATTCTCTTGTTAATATACCAACTCACACACACACACACACACACACACACATATATATATATATATATATGTTGTCATCCACAGACAGACTGTTTCACAGCTCATCATCATATATATGGACAAAGAAATCCAATCCAGAATAGCCAAAACCAGCACAGCATTCGCTAACCTTAAACATAATTTATGGAACACCAAAGACGTGTCTCACAGAGTAAAGATCGAAATATATAGATCAGTCGTTCTCTCAACCCTTCTCTATGGTGCTGAAATTTTCGCCCTGTACCGCAAGCAGATCAACTTCGTGCCATATGTGATATAAAATGGAATGATAGGGTCAAGTATAGTGCAATACTGAAGAAATGTAACACCATCACAGGCACTGAAACCATTGTAGCAAAGATCCAACTTAAGTGGGCTGGTCATGTTCTGAGAATGGATGAGCATAGGCTTCCAAAATGGATCTGAAAACTGAATGAATTTGAAAAGTTTCAACTACTGAACTTTATGGTTTCGGCCTTAGACCCAACACGGATGCCTACATCAAGTGCATTGAGGAGGTACTGATGCCCTGTGTCAAGAGGGTTGTTGATGGAAGGCCCTATATGAGCAACAGGATCCTGTACCATTCCACACATGCAGGAGAACCCAGTCATGGGATGTCACCAAGAGGGTTGTTGTACCATTCAACAGGATCCACCATTCCACACATGCAGAGAACCCAGTCATGGCTCTCAGATAATTTATGTCACTGTGTCAAGAGGGTTGTTGATGGAAGGCCCTATATGAGCAACAGGATCCTGTACCATTCCACACATGCAGGAGAACCCAGTCATGGCTCTCAGATAATTTATGTCACTGTGTCAAGAGAGTTGTTGATGGAAGGCCATATAGGAGCAACAGGATCCTGTACCATTCCACACATGCAGGAGAACCCAGTCATGGCTCTCAGATAATTTATGTCACTGTGTCAAGAGGGTTGTTGATGGAAGGCCCTATAGGAGCAACAGGATCCTGTACCATTCCACACATGCAGGAGAACCCAGTCATGGCTCTCAGATAATTTATGTCACTGTGTCAAGAGGGTTTGGAAGGCCCTATAGGGAAGGCCCATTCCATACATGCAGGAGAACAGGATCAGATAATTTATACCATTCCAGAGGGTGCAGGAGAACAACAGGTCATGTACCATTCTCAGATAATTTATTTGACCACAGACCTTTATTTGACCACATTACCTCTTAGCCACCTAACTCCCAAACTGCAAATACCTTGATTATCATTTGTGGGATGCAGTTGAGCGGGAGACCAACAAAATTCCTTGTAACACGAAGGATGAAGTGTATGTAAGAATTATTGTTTGGAGGCCGTGGTTTAAACAAATGGAGATAGTGTAATACTGAAGAAGTGTAACAACATCACAGTCATTGAAACCATTGTAGCAAAGATACAACTAAGGTGGGTTGGTCATGTTTTGAGAATGGATGAGCATAGGCTTCCAAAATGGTGGCGTAGGGACATCTAGAAAATTCCAAGTGTTTAATTGGACGTCCACTCTTACGCTACAAAAACAAATTGAAACGCTTCAACTTTGATCTGAAAACTGAATGAAGGTGATCTGAAATTCAATAAATTTACTCTTTAGTATTTCAAGATATTTTTGGTGTCATTTTAGTAAATGTATCCATTAAAATGTCTGTGTTATTTTCATTATAGCGACAATTTATCTATAGCAACATTATATATATATATATACATATATTATTTACATTATTCGGACATTTTTGTTGCCATATTTATCACAACGTTTCGTTCTGGCCTTTTTCAGGTGGTTGGAATATCGAACTGAACCCTTTATTTAGCTCGCTGGAGAAGACTGTTCTAGTTCCATGTGCCATGTTTAATGGATGTCAGTTATCAGTTATCTCCTGTTAATCCCCCTCTCCAAGTTCTCCACCCCCTTAACCAGGTATTGAACTTACATTCTCTGGGTCCTGTCACTGGATTTAAGTAACACCTTTATCCACTGTGCCATGTTTCCTTGAGGATATCAGTGTACGAATTTCTGGGTATTATAAACCTAATGTCTTCATCAACCATTTTTTACAACAGTGGGAATATATATATATATATATATATATATATATATATATATATATATATATATATATATATATATATATATATATATATATAATATGCCATGTAAAATGTGTCCCTAAGCAGCTAAATTCCGTGATAATAAATCAAAGAATGACTGCATCTAATCTGGATTTAGTGTTTCTTAACGTGAACGAAAATAGACATTGAGTATTCACAGACGCTGCTATTTTGCTCCCCCACTTTCCCTCGATAATTCCGTACGCCACTCTCCCTGCGCTGGGCAAAGGGCAGAGTTCCTAGTATGAGAGATTTAGATATCCACCCCGCATCGAGACGAGCAGCTCATTAGCTTAATGTCATTGCCGGGTATATGAACTGATTGTGTCATCACAACGGGTGAGTTCGGGTTTGATGATCCGGATGCGGGAGGCTTCAAGAAACATCCCGGTCCGAAACAAAAGATCTGTTTAATGAATAAAATGTGATAAGGGTTGCGGAAATTAGGTGAAAGAAGCGAGGTATTCATTATCAATGTCTCTCTGTTTGTTTTGTTTTTTTTAAATCTCTACTGGTTTAGGATTTTCTGGTTTTTATTTCGATTTTTTAAAAGAATCTTCTTTGTAAGTGCTTTTTACTTTTTTGGTTCAGGTTTTTTACTTTAGAAATCACCAAATTAGTAAAAAAAAGAAAAAATGAGAGAATGAAAGATTCCGAAAAAATAAATTGTGATAATAATTCCGATTTTTGTCATCAGTCAATGGAGTAGCGAGAAAATTTATGAGGAAAAGAGAACAAATTGGAGGAAGGAGAGAAGGAAGAAGTGAATGGTGAAGGGATAGAGATGATAAAATAATGATGAAAAATAGAAGACGGTAGAAAGAAAGAAAGAAAGAAAGAAAGAAAGAAAGAAAGAAAGGAAGGGATGTACAAAGAAAGAAAGTAAAAAAGAAATTAAAAAAAGGTAAAAAGATAGAAAGATAGATAGATAGAAAGAAAGAAATTTAGAAAGAAAATGACGTACAAAGAAAACAGGAATAAAGAAAGAAAGAAAGAGAGGTAGAAAGAAAGAAAGAAGAAAAGAAAGATAGAAATGTAGAAAGAAAGAAACAAAGAAAAATAAAAAGAAAGAGAGGTCGAAAAAAAGAAAAATAAAGAAAGACAGGTAGAAAGAATGAAAGATAAGTAGAAATAAATAAAAAGAAGTACAAAAAAGAAGAAAGAAGAGAAAAAAGAAAAAAAGAAAGAGACGTAGAAGGCACAATATAAGGAAAGAAGGAAAGAAAGATAATCAGAAAAGGAAAGAAAAATGAAAGAGTGATAGAAAAAGAGAGACAGAAACAAAGGAAGAAAGAAAGAGAGGTAGTATATAAGAAAGATATAAAGAAAGAAAAAAAAGAGGTATAAAGAAAAAAATAAAAACAAAATAGGGAAAATAGAAAAGAAATAAGAAAGACAACAGTGGCGAAAACAACGAAACAATGCAACAAACGTATAAAAAAGAAAAAGAGGAAGATGGTAAAATGAAAGAAAAATAGATACAGAAAAAAAAAAAAGTCATTGATAGATAGATAGATATGAACAGATAGGAACAAAGCTAGCTAGCTAGCTAGCTAGATAGATAGATAGATAAATGAAATGTAAAATGAAAAAAGGATGAAATAAAAGAGAAAGCTAAATGAAAGGGAGAAAAATTAAAGGAAAAAAGTGAAGCAAATTACAAACGAAAGAAAGAAATATAGAAAGGAACAGAATAAATATGGCGACAAAGGACGTAGGGAAAAACGAAGAAAGAAACGAAAAAAAGAAAGAAAGAATTATGCGATGTCAACAAGAAGGAAAGAAAGAAAAAAAGAAAGAAAAAAAAGACAGTAAAATAAAGGATATCAAAAGAAATATTGAGAGGAAGAAGAAAGAAAAATAAATGTCGTGAAGAGGAAGAATGAGGGATTGAAATCCAAACAATATCAAAAGATAAAGTGACAGAAAGAAAACTGAAGGAAAATAAATTAACACAAAACAAAAGAAAAATGAGAAAGAAAAGAAAGAAAAATGATGCCAAAAGAAAGGAAAAAAAATGATGAAAAAAAAATGATTTCAAAAAAGAAAGTAAGAATGAAAAAAAAACATAGAAAAAATATGTGAATTAAAAAGAAATATATGAAAACCGCGTCAAAATAAATAAAGAAAAAAAGAAAGAAAGAAAAGAATACAAAAATAAACAACCCCCAAAAAGAAAGAAAAAAAATGGATGTCAAATGGACGAATTAAGAAATGACACATGAAAAAATGTAAAAAAAAAAACGAATGAGAGACAAAAAAACGATATTTGAAAAAAAGAATAAAAAGAAAGATAAAAAAGAACTAAATAAACGGTGTCAAATGAATTAAAAAGAAAAACATATGAATAAAGTCAAAGAAAGAAAGAAAGAAAGAAAAGTCGATAAGGTGAAAAATGAAATAAAAAAGATAATAGATAAAAACATAAAAAATAACAGGATAAAATGATAAAAAAAAAAGAAAATAAAAAAGAAAAATCGCTGTAAAAGTATAAGAAAGATACACTCAGAGAAAAAAAAAAGAAGAATTTTGAACTAGTGATAAATAATTTTCTTGGTGAACGGACATGAAAATAAAGTTAAAAATGGTAAGCAACATGTAAATAAGAAGAATGAGAACCAAATATTAACCTATTGATATAATTAAGTAAATTTATGTTATACACAAATAAAGTGTCACTGCCGACACATGAGTTTGAACATAAATCGTCAGTGAGCAAACACAGGCGATCCCATTATTGAAGTAGATCATGTGGCCATAGAGGAAACGCATAACTAGAAAATAGCGTGACGTTAACATTTCTAGTCAATCCTGTATTACTATACGGATCGCTATTCTCTATACGCTAAACTGATTACTATACGGATCTCTATTCTCTATACTCTAAACTGATTACTATTCGCTAGTTACTATTCGAGCGATTATTATCGAGCAAGTACTATTGGTGCGAGTAATATTCGAAGGCGTCTGACACCAGTATTGTTCAACGGCTTACTATAGTTGTATCTGCGATTACAAAGTCTCTACTACAACGAGCATTACTAAAGTGACAACGAGGTATTCGTTGACATCACAAAACTGGCAACGAGTCTTTGTTGACATCACAAAAATATTTTTTCTGTAGTTGAAGACATACAATTGCGTTCAAAATATTTTAATTTCTGCATTAAATATGCCGCTAAACAAAATCGACCAAACAAGCAGCATGAAAGAACTCTTTCATCACATTAATTCATATAATATCAGACAATTTATTAATTCAAACTGTATTCCAAAATATAACTTGACAAAATTTGACATATTGACAGAATTTGACAAAATCAGAATTTGACAAAATTCGAAGGGTCTGTAATGTAATCAATCCTGATCTGGTATCTCGACTTCAGTCACTTTCTCACCGAAGTCATGTAGTGTTATATAGCAATAAAGTTTCGCTGCCGACACTGAAGTTAGATCACACATCACTGGAGAGCAAACAGGCGATCCCATTTTGAAATGCATGTATGTAAATTAGCGTGGCGTCTAAATGATCACTATAGTGATCACTATACGGATTACTATTCGGTGGTAACTATTCGAGCGAGTATTATCAAGCTAGTACTATTAGAGCTAGTGTTATTCGTAAGGTATGTATTAGAAAATGAAATAAAAACATACTATCCAATATTTCTGGTTCAAATAATCTCAGAAAGGTTGATAAGCCGTAAAAAAAGGCCAATCACTAGAAATACTTTATATTCCAAACGACCACGTCCCTATAATCTGGTTTCTGAAGAGATTCCAAAACAACTATAAACCTGCGGCTGGGGTTAGGATTCATCTCACAACGAATAATCACAACCAACAAGTTGCACAAGAGAAAAAAAAATCAGATAAATCACCATTCGCTCATATTTTCCATTCATTGGGTAAAATACACACACACACATATATATATATATATATATATATATATATATTATTGAGCACGCTACCGCTATTAAGATAACAAATTTTAAAAAGAAAAATTGTATGTACATGTGTGTGTGTGTGTTTGTGTCGTGTGTGTATGTGTGTGTGTATGTTTGTGAGAAAAAGATGGAGAGAGACATAGGGAGAGAGAAAAAGAGACAGCGTGTGTATATAGATAGATAGATTGAACACACCGAGAGAGATAGATAGATAGATATGAATAAACCGTGATAGATAAGAATAGACCGATATATATATATATATATATATATATATATATATATATATATATATATATATAGATAGATAGATAGATAGATATGAATAAACCGAGATAGATAAGAATAGACGAGTATATATATATATATATATATATATATATATATATATATATATATATATATAATATATAAAAAGAAAAGAACAGTAAGCTGTATAATCCGATGTTCTTATAGGTATTTTTATTTTTACAAAATAGTGCTCGATGTAAATTTACAGAGCATTAATATTATAAATTAATTGATTTAAAATATAGTTTTTTTCCGCTACACAGTTCTAACCATGTTTCAAAAATATATATATATGAATAGACCGAGATAGATAGATAGATAGATAGATAGATAGATAGATAGCGCTAACTTTCATCGAGCCACATAGATGGTATTCGGAAATCGTGTAACAGCGTGGGATTATTGTCCATACCACACAATGTTTAATATCTAAAAAAAAAAAAAAAAACTAAAATAATTGTGTTTTTTTTCCAGGTTTTCAGTTAAGACGTTTAGGCCTCTTGACCCCATTTCTTGTAAGAATCGCCGAAAAAAACACCTTTATATATCATAGGTCAGTCGATCTCTTAGAAATTTGACTATCATTATATAATAGTTTTATTTGCGTGCACATCCCACACACATAAAGTAGCATCTATACGTGAAGATTAATTCTTTGTTGTTGATGTCATCAAATTTGAGATCCGAGCCTATTATGGTCTCCACATGTGTATTTTTTTTGCAGCTTAGCAAGACATCTTAGGAAATATAATGGAGTAGCTTCCTGCTATCTTCTCCAACTTTTTGTTTTAAATTCAGAATTGTCTTTCTCCTAGAGTGGCTGCCAGCTAAGGCAAGAGACACCTGTCTACTCAAATCTTTAGCACATAGGGCGGAGAAGAATTGTATTCATGGCTGTCGAGTTCCGTATTAAAAAATGCATCCTAAATAATACATCAACATGTCAAAATTTCATCTCTAGACGAAGGGTATGTGCAAAGTTCTCGTATGTCCGCACTTGAGACGTTAAACAAATCCTTTCTTTATTTATCTTTGAGAATTGATTCATATCTACCCCTGACGAGTGGGTCTGGCTTTGCAAAACCCAGAAGCGATAGAGATGACCTTTGAACTCATTTATTTATTTACAGTCAATAATTTAATAATGATCACTCTTTGAAGCTGAAACTTCGAGGATGTTTTTTTTTCTATCTCATATAAATAAATGTCTATTCTGAATTCTTTACCAACATCAATTTTACTGTGAAAACATTGACTCCCAAAAGCAACGACAACAAACAAAAAAAAAAACCCAAAAAAACACTGACGTTCCTGAAGAGATTAATACAGAGATTTATATAATACTCGCAACATTGACGATTCAGATTAAAGCGGAAGAAACTATTTTGTAAATAGTAGTGACAAAGATTAATCACCATCGATGAAACTTTGACATTTGATATGATTGGGGTTGGGGGGGGTCGTCGAAAAAGATTGGAACATATTATCATAAAGTAAGCAAAAATGCATTTTGGAAAGTGAAGTTTATGCGTTTACTCGATAGAATTGCTCACAGACAAGGATAAATAGCAGGAAGATTGATTAATGAAAAACCTTTCAACTCCCATTAAATATAAACACTAAATATTGCGTAAATTTTACAAAAAATATCTTTTTTCCATAGTCTATGATATGAGTGTTCTCTCTATGAGTGTTTTTCTAATCTGTGATATGTCTGCTTCACTAATCTATTTCTCTACTTTTTGCGATTCTCTCTAATATATGACAATTTTTGGCTAATATATTTCTATAATCTATGATATTTATACGTATTTGTCGTTATGAGATTTTCCCTAATCTGTATGATTGCTTCTCTAATCTATGATATATGTGTTTCTCTCTAATGTATGTTTCTATAATCTACGATATGAGTGTTTCTATCCATGAGTATTTCTCTTCATGAGACTTTTGCTAATCTGATATGACTGTTTCCCTAATCTATGACATAGGTGTTTCTCTCTAATATATGTTTCTATAATCTCTGATATGAGTGGTTGTCTTTATGAGTATTTCTCTTCATGAGACTTTTGCTAATCTGATATGACTGTTTCTATAATCTATGATATAGGTATTTCTCTGCATGAGTATTTCTCTCCGTTGGACTTTTGCTAATCTGATATGATTGTTTCCCTAATATATGACATAGGTGTTTCTCTCTAATATATGTTTCTATAATCTCTGATATGAGTGGTTGTCTTTATGAGTATTTCTCTTCATGAGACTTTTGCTAATCTGATATGACTGTTTCTATAATCTATGATATAGGTTTTGTCAATATTATGTTTCTGAAATCTACGATATGCGTGTTTCTCTTTATGAGTATTTCTCTTCATGAGACTTTTTCTCATCTATGATATGATTGTTTCTCTTATCTATGATATAAGTGTTTCTCTCTTATATGTTTCCATAATTTATTATGAGTGTTTTTCTCATCTCTGATATGAGTGTTTCTCTCTCATATATAAATCTTTCTCTCTCATATATGAACGTTAGGGCTGTTTCTCTAATGTATGATATGAGTGTTTTACTTGATGAGCTTTTCTTTAATCTATGATACGAGTGTTTCTCTCTAATATATGAGTGTTTATCTCTAATGTATGTTTCTATAATGCATGTTATGGCTGTTTCTTTCATGTCTGATGTCCGTGTTTCTCTCTAACATATGAAAGTTTCTCTCTAATATATGAGTGTATCTCTAATCTGTGATATGAGTTATTCTCTCTAACATATTCAACTCTCATTTAACACTTCAACTCCCATTAAGTATGAGCGCTAAATATCACGGGAATTCTACAAATATTGTCTGTTTCTCTAGACTAAGATATTAGTGTTTCTCTCTAATATATGTTTCTCCCTATGAATGTTTCTCTGATCTATGATATAAATGTTCCACTCTGTTTATATGATTGTTTCTGTAACCTATGGTCTCTAATCTATGACATGAGTGTTTCTCTCTAATAATTGAATGTTTCTCTAATCTGTGATATGAGTGTTTCTTTTATCTATGATACGAGTGCTACATATATGATATGAAATCTGTTTCTCTATTATAAGACTGTTTCTCTAAGGTATTATTGTGTCTATAATCTATATTTGTCTGTTTCCTTAAGCTATGATATGACTATTTGGCTATAGTTTAAGTGACTAATCTATGATCGAGTTATTTGCCTAAGTGATGGTATGATCATTCTTCTAGTATTTGACTTTTATCACAAATTTCTATGATAATGCTTTTATTTAGGTGTACGATTGAACGTTTCTTTATTACATGGCTGTATAAGATATGAAGGTTTCTCTAATCTGTTGTATCAATGTTCTGTTATATGACCATTACTCAAAGGTATCTGTGTTTCGCAAATCTATGATATCACTGTTTCCTTCTTTCCGAATATATGTGATGAGGTGTTATCTTTATTGACACTATGTTTACTGCTAAAAAGAACTAAATATATACGCCCTTTTTGTTAATATTTTCCTTACAACTTCAGTCTGTTATAACGGATGTTTCTTGTTTTTTCGGGATTATCAAATCTACAAAACGGAAAGCCTTTATGGAATAAAATCGTTCGTCCGCTCCACAGAGGGAGTTAGTCAAAAACAGAGGGATGATGTTTGCGTGTTGAATTTCCTTTCGAAGAAATGTTAAAATTGCTAAACACTGAAAAACAGAAACCATTTTAAAACGACGTAAAAATCATGAGCTTTCAAGTAACTTAATTAAGCTCATACTAATGCCATTTGTAAATTTGTAGTGTAGATCGATAGGATCAAATGAAGGACCGTGATCTGTCAGACCGAAACGATTCATTCGATGGAAGTCATTGGTTGTATGAAAAGGTTTTTCTTAATGGGGCTTTCTCCCTCTTTTTTTTTACTCGAAGTAGTGTTTAATATGGGATGGCCAAAGGTGCTTTCCAAGAGCTAAGTGGAGTATTAAAATAGTAGAAAGATTTCGTTAGAAACAGAGAAAAGATTATTGAAATTTTATGTAATATCAGTTCTCCAAGATGGCAGTGAATGCCGGACAAACACCTAAAAGATGAAAAAAATCCTGAAGCAGCAGAAATGTTGTTCTATAGAAGGATGCTACAGATACTATGAACCAAATATGACGAAGTTTTAAAGAAAATAGAAACAAAAAGGACACGTATAGGAAGTTGATATTTCTAGGATACATAATGAGGAAACAAGGCTTGGAGAATTTGATATTCACAAGGCTTATTGAAGGGAGGAGGGAGAAAGGAAAACATCGTATAACTGACCTCGAGAGTTTGAGTAAATGGATGGTGAATCAGGCTTTTAGGAGACGTAACAATAAGAGGAAATTTATTCAGATCTACAAGTGACAAGAAATTGTGGAGAACCATCTTTAAGGGACATGGAAACTCGAAAAACGACATATTGATTCTGTCATTTTCTATTCAAGTTACATGTAATATTCTTGTTCATTGTTACTACCGATGGAAGTCCACAAGTGAGGTAGTTTCCGCTATTTGGTACAGTGCCATGTTAGTGATTCGGTAGTGCCAATCCACGAGATTCAAAGAAACATAGTTCTCTCCAAGAACCACTGGCTTCATTCGCTCGAAACGAACTTTTACCATCGATCTGAGAAATCGGTTGTATGCAGGGGACAGTTTATCTCTGAACTAAACTGACGCCATGAATGACATCCATATGGAAGTTTCGATCTGTACAAGACTTTAAGAACATAATTTGAGACTTTGGTTAATGCTTTCAATTTCAAGCAACTTAGAGGAAGGAGAAAAGCAAAGAAAAGCGAGGAGAGTTTGGACTAAACAAAATTGAGAACATTAAGAATCATCTGAAGAACTTTGCAGACAGTTCCGAAAACTGGAAGGGATTCGAAGATAAGTGAGTGAGGTCCTAGGACTCTGAAGAAGTCTAAATCACTACCGAAATGTTTCAATATATATATATATATATATATATATATATATATATATATATATATATATATATATCATAGAAACATTTTGGGGATCACTAAATATTTATGTTGCTTGTAGTATTACCCAAGTATCCCCACTGAGATGGGATGCGACACAAGATCTGGATTTTTTTGGTGGACCCCGAGCGCCTACACTCGGGTCAGGCACAAAGATTCTCGTCCCTGCAACGGAAAATCGGTTAAAAACTTTGGCTTCTTTTTTAAAGTGGCGACCGCTGAACCGCCTCTCTAGTGCAATGAAAAGGTGCAACCTCAGGAAGCTGTTCCCCAAAGCGGGGCACCTCAAAGTATTATTTTTTGCTGTTTGCAGACACATGCAACAACTGAGTCTCACTCAGCCCGAA